TGCAACCAAGTTACCATTCTCCGTGGGATCGACCTCGTATTTCATAAGCTATACTATAAATGGTTCGTGCACTTGCGAGAATTGAAGTTGCTATTTTTAATTACTCATTTTAGTTGTTAGGAATAGGCTCAACACCTTCGCCAAGAATTCATTCAATAATGAACGGCCCTTCCCAGTTGGGTGAGAATTTACCGAACCGAGGGTCCTTAGTCCCGATAGGAAGCACGGCCCGCCATACCAAGTCGCCTTCTGCGAAAGTCTTTTGCCTGACCTTTCTGTTGTAGGCCCTCGCCGCAATCTGCTTTTGTGCCCGCATTAGGTTATAAGCATCGAGCCTGGACTGCTCCAAATCTTCTAACTCCTGAGCCATGGCTTGCGCATAGTCCTTCCTTTCTTGCCTAGGCCGTTCGGTCACACGGAGAGACCGAACCTTTAACTCCATTGGAACAATGGCGTCATGACCGTAGGTTAAGGCAGAAGGGGATGTGCCCGTAGCCGATTGTTTTGAGACTCGGTAAGCCCAAAGGGCTTCAGGGAGTAAGCCGTGCCAAGGCCTAGGCTAATCCTCGATCATTTTCTCAAGGATGCCCTTGATTCCCTTGTTGCTCGCCTCGGCCTGTCTGTTAGACTGGGGATAGTAAGGTGTTGAGTGAACCAATTTGATCCCCATCCCTTCGGCATACTCTCGAGTCTCGGCCGATGCGAAAACTGGGCCGTTATCTGCCATGATAGTTTCAGGTATACCGAATCTGTGGACGATGTGATTTTCAAAGAATTTGACCACCTGTGCGCTAGAAATTGACCCTTAGGACTCCACCTCGACCCATTTAGTAAAATAATCGATTGCCACCAAAATCCATGCGTGTTGGTTGGACGCGGCCGGATAGATTTTGCCGATGATATCAACGGCCCACCCTTTGAACGACCATGGTTTAGTAACCGGGTGGAGGGCTTCGGCCGGTACCCTTTGTATGGGGCCTGTGAGAATCCGTATTTCTGAAAAGCTTTTAAAGAAGATTAAAGGTTTTTAATATATATATATTTATGTAGGGGCTTTTTTTTCTTCCGGCAGCAAGTGGGCTGGGCTGATGAAGTTGTCCCCTTTGTTTGAGTTCGAAAATTAAGCCCCAAAATGCTTCGAAAGGGCAGCAAAGCCTTTGGAAATATTTTGGTTATCTTCTCCAACAAAAACAACAGCAAGTTACAGATAATTTCTTCACACTCACAGATGAACTTTTGGGCTTGGCATGAGGGGCATGTGGCATGAGAGCAAAATTACCATGGGTTTAGCACTTTGGGAAAGAGAAAGTTTGTGGGTTCCTATGAAGGTTAGAGGTTCTAATGGAAGAGAGGAGAGGTTCTAAGGAGGAGAGTTTTGGGTGATTTTCGTAGCTTCCGGCAGTTTGACAGTGACTCTGTCAGAGCTGTAGCAATCTGCCAAAGCAGGGGAGATGGGGGAAATGGGCTAGCAAAGCACGAAAATTTGCTGGGTTTGCAAGAGAGAAAGCTTGCTCTCTGAAGGTTGTGGGTTGTGTTTGTTGGGTAGGAGAGGCCCCATTTTATAGCTGCGGGAAACTATCCTTTCCCAAGAAACCCTAATGGTTTCTTTCCAATTTGGCCAAGCTTTTCCTTCCTTTCTCCTCTCCTCCCTTGACTTTCCTATCTCAGTGAAATTGCCTCTATCTATTTGCACGAAATTAGGGATTTTGGGAGCTCAAGGCCTCCCTTTCCTGTAGCAGCTTCAGTGGAAAACTCCCACTTTCAGCTATTTTTCTTCTTCTTTCATTTCCCCTTCCATGGCTAGATCTGATGAGGGAAAGGAAGTGGATATACATGCTGGTCCAAAGGGTGCTTTTGGCAGCTCGCAGGCTAATACTCCTTGGTTCCTTGAATATTTCTTGCTTGGAACTTGCTCCCAGCAGCCACTCACGTGTAGATTTCCAACGTTCCTTTGTGGTTTTGTCTCCAAACTGAGTGCCAGGGCTTGAG